TGTTAACCCTGGAAGGCCCTTCTAAACTCAGTTGTCTGTGCCCCCAAATTAGCTGTTTTCAAAACGATTAGATATTGAATCGAACGCTTTACACTTTGTTAGTTGAAGGGATATTCGGGATATATTCTGGCTAACTAGCCACTTAGTAATTATGACCCACAGTGAGACACTTAAATGTGTGCAGATGGGTGAGCAATCTGCTTTTACTCGCTAGTTAATTAGTACAACTTTTTATCTTCTGTATGGGATACATGGGTTCAGAGAGAAAAAAATTACCAGCAAGGTAAACTGCGCATCACCATGGATTGGCGGTATCTGTGTCCGAATTTGCCTGTCACTGCGGCCTCCATACGACAGCCATAGGATACCCACCCTTACAAAGGGACCATGGGTGGTTGCGTTGCACTAACCCACAGTTCCACCCACGCACCCCATATCCAATGTGAACCCAAAGGAATAAGACCGGGCGGCATGCGGATGGGAGCCACATTTCATCAACAGAGCCGGCCCACACTCCTTCGACAAGCAGAGCGGAAGCATTCACGCCTGATTGGGAAACCATGCGTACCAGACGTACACAGGGCGGTGGCTGGACCGTACTCTGCTTTACACAGGATGCATGGAACCACTCTTTGAGCCTAGAATGGCCAAGTGGACCGTGCACCCCGTCCCCCAAGAACAATTCACAGCCTCCTGCATCCATTATAGACGAAGTGGAAGGTACTAGACAGGCAGGCACCTTGTCAACATTCACCACAAGCGAAGCCACATCGGAACATAAAGCAGCCAGCAAAGAATTTGAAAGAGAATAAACACACAGGATTGACACGGAATATGCAGTAGAATAACAGATCTGAACGAATCAAATAAGGTAAAATACTTCCTATCCAAATTAGGTAGATCTAGTTGAAGGGTAATTCGGCGTAGGCCAACTGCGGTGAAGAAGCATGATTCATGTAGCATGGACCACATTGTGATATCCACGTTAACACATGTATATCCATTTACCCCGATTGCATGTGGATCAGCGTTTGTTTGACTTATCTCCTCACCAGATGGATGCAAGTTTTGACATGTAGTGTAAATTCTCCTTCGTTTATTAAAACTGGATACCTTGGATGCAGAAATGAGATTTGTTAGAAGGGCGTTCCATAGATCACCAATTCGGAGGAATATTTTCCTGTGGCGTTACAACCATTTGTGTATGGTGACCAGATTCATCTGGTAGGTTTGCAGCTCCGTTTTCGGAGGTTGCGGAAAACGTGACTGGGGTTTTACAAAATTTGTTAGGTCAGAATAAGGTTACTCCGTAGACATCGCTAAGTTCAGCTCTACAGTCCCCGGGGGCTTTCAGTCGCTGTTGGCATGTTAGATGGGACAAGCCCTTAACGTTTTCAGTTACGCTTCGGTGTAGAGTATCCAGTGCGTTCAAAGCACGTTTTAACTGGGGTTACCAGGCCTGAATCGCGTACTCCACATGGGGACTCACATAAGCAGTGAGAATTCCCGATAAGATGTAAGAGTCGAACAACCCAAATCTGTAAGGGTCCAACCTGTTGCTTTCCGTCTTAGAACACCACGTCCCGATCCGAACAGTCGAAGTGATCTCCAATCACCAGTCCAAGGTAAAGCTCCTATGAGAAGATCATCTAGATATGGCCTCGTTGCATCGGGTCATAATTTTTCTGACTACTGATCGGCCGCCACACTTTGTTGCCGTCTGCGAAAAGCAGGACGTTCAATTAGATGACGCAGGCGAGGTGACTTATGACGATCAAGAAGAAGTGCCACCCTAATGTAGATACTTCTGGAACCCCGTATTCCACCACAATCGGACCAGAAAACCACATGACCGGCGTTGACGGAATCTATGATGTTGAATTTTTTAATGGCCCATCATTGTCACAACAATAAAAAGCTTATAGAACTTTCGAGAGCATTGGGTGGAGGATCACTGGTTGCCTACGGGAGAAGAGTTCAGTAATTTCACTTTTTCTTCATGCATGTTGTGAAAGAATAATGTTTTGAAAAAACTACACGATACGTAAATGGGGAATTTCGTTTCGACTAAACGTATGGTCTTATTGTGTAGGACAGTGTCCAAATACCAGGTAGTACATAAGGCTTCACGACTTTCGCTTCACGAATTAGTTCCATCAACCACCTATACCCAAAGCTTCGTAGTAGAAAGAATAACCCTGACGTTTATGAACAAGACATTGGGGAGAGACGAAAATAATAAACCTTGGACAGTAGCTATAAGTTCAATGGTGTATCAAATGCATACGCTATAAGGCATTTGACTGCGACCAGGTAAGCATGTTTTAAAGCTAATATTGTGGTTATCAGGAAATCTTCACGTTAAGGAAAGGAGCTAGAAATACTCACTAGACTCTTCGACCGGAGTTGTTTTCAACTACTTATTTATTCCACCTACACCTAAGGCACATCTTTGCGTCCTTTGCGTTGTCCAACTCCATAACTGTAGACAGCACTGATGGCCACAAGATGTAGAACAACATCGAAACCAAAGGAACTTCCATCCTTCAATGCCGACGGCTAACAAGAGCTCACAGGAGAGCACACCAGTAGTCAATTCATTCTGCTAACCGAAGCCTAGTTTGGACATCAATTGCAGTAACCAATAGCTGCTACTGGGAAAGGCGTTGTTATTTTTTCCGGTCCATCAGCCCACCTAATCGCTTCTGCTCACATGTCAATATCATTCGTAGAACCTGCTCAGCCAATGACGTTTCATACAGGGATTGTGATATCGAAGCGGTCACGTATTTGAAAGACCGGATTCCTCATCAGTGCGTGTGACTTACAACTATACCTTTAACTAGAGTACTGAGGACCTACCTGTACTGCGATTATGCATATCGTCCCCTATATTTAATTGCAAGTCAGTTTCATTTATAGAGCAACACACGCGAATCGTTTGCGTAACCGCTATAAACTGTTGATTGTCACAAATTTTTCCGCGTTTGTACTCACTAGCTATTTGGACACTAGGTATTTGGACGAAGAGACCAGTGACCTATGCTCTCCAAAAGGCCGAAAGTAGCATATCTAAGGAGTGATGACAAGACTTCACTGAGTGAAGTAACGGGATAATTCACTATTAAGGATTTATCACAAGTTATCATTGAACTCGACTGAAGATGAATTACCCATCGCCGTAGCATCAAGTTTTTGGGAAGTGCATTAGTCCTTGCACTAACTGATCACTCCGTTTTGGTGATAGAAAAGGCATAGGTAGAGAAGCGGATCTGTTGATGCACGGCACTTCCTAAGTGGCTAAGATCAGGTAACATGAATTGTATAGTATTGTTCAGCACAGAGGTCAACCTGTTGATCCCCAATAATGTAGATTTCACGAAAAAGCAGCTACGTACTAAAATCCTTAAATTCCCAAGGAAAATTATCTTATGGAGAAAGCTATGGTCGGAAAAGCAACATGGCCTGACGAGTTTCTGTACTTTGGCAGCTTCAAATCTGCTCGGTACGAACAGTTACTTTGTAGGTCTTGATTATTTTTACCGAGAGAAGATGCACCGTTGACACGCTGAACCAAAATGTGGAATTAAAAACTCCCCAGCTCATAGCCAATGAACACGGCTGAAAGAGTCGGTGTAAGTTTCAGCTAAGAGCAACCATTCAATGAGTCACGTCCAAAGATGGTTTCAACGAAGCTTAAGAAAATTAACCGCGTAACTGAACACAGCAATGTTACCAAAATGCCTGATTCGATACAATCCAGCAACTCTGCAAACTGTCGACACTTTCGTCAGTGGAAGGTCAAGCACTAGGGGGACAAATTATGCTATACAAAAGAAAGCACAGTTAACTTCAGACCACGTCTCGTAGACACCACAAACAAGATACCGGTTTGAGGACTGAACGACCGTGAAGCCACGTAAGTGTAGCTTGGCAGTTCCTAGGATCCCTGCCATCAGAATCCTGTGAGCGCACAAACAGAAGGCTTTCTCGATTAGGAAGTAGCAACTGTTTATACACCACCCTATAGGACTCTGCATAGCGTACGTAATTTATCTGCACAAACTCTATCCCCGAGTACTTGATTTGCCCCAAGCTATCGTTTAGGGTGATTAGGCCTAATACTGTGGCTAAAGCTATCCTTTTTATGTCTTAGATCATTCCGCTAGATGACCTAAGACATAAAAAGGCTAGCTTTAGACACAGTATTAGGCCTAATCACCCTAAGCGGCAACCTGGGGCAAATTCAGTACCCGGGGATAGAGCTTTCGCAGATAAATTACGTATGCTGTGCAGAGCTCTGTCGGGCGAAATTAGGCATTATTTTTTACCCCACTTCATACTTCAACGGTCGATTGGCTGGGTCGGTGTATATATTCATCGATTATTCTTCACAAAGCCAAGAAATTATTAGCTAAATGCATTGGGACACTGACCTCGCCTTCTACCTAAGATGCTTCGGATTTTTCTTAGGAAGCCAAGCGTTTTGCTAATACATACTTTGTAGGAACTTTACATACCTTGTTCTCTGTTAACACCTGTAAGTGTGTGTACGAAACTCGAATGCAAACTATCTAGCAGGAAGTATAATGACTTATCCTTTTGCCCATAATTTGTCAATGTTTCGCTGGTTCACTGGTTAGCATGAGGGGTTCCATCGTATCGCCATACAGGCCACCTTAAATGTGCGCATCGAACGTTTGTTTATTTTATGACGTGCTTAATCATCTCTGGGCGTCTTAGCACGTTGGCTGCGGAGCTATTAGGTTTTAGTTGCTTGGGCTCTAACGAAGTACGTACATTGAGAATGAGTAAAAATATTAGTATTGTCGGTCAGTAGATTCTGGGAGACTGTGCTAGGTTGACGCAGGTTTAAATGCACAGGCAGCCAAGTGCATCCGCCCGGGTACCAAGTTCACCTACTGTACATGATCGTTTGTCTACTTCTTGGTGTTTTAGCTCTAAACGATCACTTGTCATCGGAGACTGTGATAGGTAAGCTATCGATGCCACTTACCGTCTGAATCCAGGGTACGCAGAAACTCTTCCAAATCTGCTTGCAAATGCTTTGCTGCAGTTCGGTCTCCGACAAACAGACACAGCTCATGTAATCTCACTTTGCCGCTAGCTACAAGTACGCGAACACAACAAGTTGTCATATGAAACAACATGAAGCGAACTTACAGTCGACGACCAATTCGGCGAGTAAATCATTTAGTTCGGCTTCCGTCAGCGATTGATTCATGCAGCGCATAGCCCGTAGTAGTTCGCCGGCTGCCACTGTGCCATTTCCATCTCGATCCAAAGAAGCAAAAATAGCACGAAGCTCTGCTTAGTGTAGAGGCGTGCGTACGAATACTAACCTTTTAGTTGCTCAACATTCAAAAGGTGGCGGTTGGCTTGAACTTGTTCTCTTACCTGGAAAGTTAGAGGAATTTGTATTAACTGTCCAAAAACCTCACTGAAAAATCCTATTACTGATCCTGACAACAAAGTCAGGCCAAAAGTTGCACAAATTCAGTAATCTGATAGAGCCATGGAGAGCGAAGAACATAAGACAAGGTTCTTCATCGGACACGACTAAATTGACTGCGGGGACCGAGAGTAAGTTAGAAGCTAAGCACAATTAGCGCACTTAGCATATGCGAGTTACGTCAGGAATAGTCCTACCCACACTCGAACAATAATATCCTACCGCCCGAAAGAGCGTTACTTGTTTGCGCCGGCTCAGCTACTACAAGTCACCACTTCGAATTACAGTTGAGCCTTCGGCTACTTAGATTGTCGTAACCAATAGCATAATGTATTGCTGGAGGCTCACCCTACCTCGAACATCTTTACATCAGTGTTGCTTACCAAACTGCCTTTAGAAAATGAATAAAACTACATGGAGTTTCCACCGACGGCTGAAACTTTGATAATTAACGTTATTGCTACTCGAGGAAGCACTCCCAGTGGACTGCGCTGGTTTTGGCGTAACTGCCACATACTTGCTCATGTCTCGACTTGTCTGTCAATCAGATGAGAGTTTAAAAAATTGCCACTGGTCATCTCCTGTTCTTTATCCTGCCTGTACGATTTCGTTAATTAAAGCACAACTCTAGGCCTATTGTTACCGAAACAAACCTTATGTAGAAAAAATAAATCAGTATAAACTCGAATCACCTGGCTCCATTTCTTCCTTATTCTAGACTGTCGCCTTTTATCGGCATGGCGTTCTATCGCTTCAGTATGTGAGTTAAATCCGGTCGCTGCCCCTGACTCTTCCACTGTAGCCATGATTTTTGTGCGGTTGGTAGTTCCAGTGTGTTAACTCTGTAAGCACGGGCTATTAGAACAGCTCCTACCAATGAGAAACGGTTTGGTTACAGATCTCCGTAGTTCGCAAATGCCTTTCAAAACGCATGATTCAGTAAGTGTACGGCATTTAAATGTAGTAGTTTACCTGAGAGACGATTGCTAGGTCGCTCTGAAAAACTGCTACTTCTGACCGTTCGCGATGCGGGCGAGCGCCAACACCGCTTTTTGGTATCGATCACTGACATCGCGTGACATTCTTTGACACAATGCACTCTGAGCATTTAAAGGTAAGGTTGTGGCCACTGTGGGTGTACTTCGCGTGCACTCCCCACACATCAGCTCTTTCATTGCTTATTTTATTCAATTCACTGTAAATCCCGATGGTAGGTATCTCCCCAAACATCTGCTTTGGACAACGAAATTTAAAAGTAAAACAATGGGTCCCCTTCAGCCATTTCGTTAAGGCAGAGAGAAGACAGAGGTTGCGATATGACAACATTTTGATTGTTCTCTTCAGTCGCAAACACAATACGAGCAGAAACACACAAAGGATTACATACACGGAAAAATAAGCAACACCAATCAAAATGTCACAGTTAAGACCATGGCAACCGAATTGACTGCCTCAAGCGTTTCTGTGCACACAGCACAGGTTGCTAGGCCTTAATTAACAACGCCTCACTAATTACCAGCATTATGGGGGTTTTGTTACGTAATAACACTTTGAATGCTGTCTCTGGGCTCACGTGATGGCGGGTTTGCCGTGAGGTGCACCTCGGGTGGCTGAACAAAAACTTGGAACCCAGCCATCCACTTTCTCTCCGGCATCCTCTCCATTTCAGTGTTGGGCAAGTGAACTCCAGCTGAACTGACCGCCGGTCCTACAGAGTCCTACGACTGAAATGGCCACGCATATCCTGTTCCGACTGTTCCACGGGTTGTCTCAGACGCATATTGTATGCCATCGACTGAGTAAGTGAACAGGTGTAACACGCACGTACTTGCATTTGTGAGAGACCCAGCAACATTTATCACGTTCACGCCACAAAAAGTTGTCTACACTTTGGCTTGTCTTATCCAGCGAATGTAACTCACGGCCACACCCTTACACAAGAATTCACGGCAGTCAAACTTAACCTAGCCTCTATTCCGCTTTCATGCTCAGGATAGACTACTAATTATGGTAACACACGACGAACTGAGATTACGGTAAGCGCACAGTTGTCTTGGTGGCAGGTATCCGATTAATCGTACAACATTTTTAAAGAAAACTCATGTTAGCCGTCCTACGCACACCCACTGTCAGGCTAAACCATGACAGTTGGCCTAGGCTGAATTCAAAAGCGGTTGGTATACGAAACGGAGCAGTGCTAGGCTATCTGTAGCTGAGTTACGTCAAGTTGTTAAAAAAACACCGATATTATTGCTTGATTTCTGTTTGGTAAGGTTGTGGCTTCCCTTTCCTAGGACTAGAACTTTCGAAGAAAGTAGAAGCCACGATTAAAATTCACGCACAATAATATTATGCCTCGACGAGGAGTCGAACCCCGGTCCACGAATATCCGGTCCGTTGCTCTACCACCTGAGCTACCGAGGGCTGACGATTAGGTGCGCAAATTTTAACACATGTCTTCTGCTTGGTGCGCGACGTGTTGCCAATAAGATCACAGTACCTGTCCTGATGTTGCAGATTGGCTCACTCACCCGTCACTTCCCAATAGACCGAAGTTCCTGTCCTTCAGACGTCCAATGGGCGATGGTAGATTAATTGTGGATGTTTGTGAGTAGTGTAAAGTTTGAAGAAAGTAGAAGCCACGATTAAAATTCACGCACAATAATATGCCTCGACGGGGAGTCGAACCCCGGTCCACGAATATCCGGTCCGTTGCTCTACCACCTGAGCTACCGAGGGCTGACGATTAGGTGCACAAATTTTAACACATGTCTTCTGCTTGGTGCGCGACGTGTTACACTACTCACAAACATCCACCATTAATCTACCATCGCTCATTGGACGTCTGAAGGACAGGAACTTCGGTCTATTGGGAAGTGACGGGTGAGTGAGCCAATCTGCAACATCAGGACAGGTACTGTGATCTTATTGGCAACACGTCGCGCACAAAGCAGAAGACATGTGTTAAAATTTGCGCACCTAATCGTCAGCCCTCGGTAGCTCAGGTGGTAGAGCAACGGAGCGGATATTCGTGGACCGGGGTTCGACTCCCCGTCGAGGCATATTATTGTGCGTGAATTTTAATCGTGGCTTCTACTTTCTTCAAACTTTACACTTCTCACAAACATCCACCATTAATCTACCATCGCCCATTGGACGTCTGAAGGACAGGAACTTCGGTCTATTGGGAAGTGACGGGTGAGTGAGCCAATCTGCAACATCAGGACAGGTACTGTGATCTTATTGGCAACACGTCGCGCACCAAGCAGAAGACATGTGTTAAAATTTGCGCACCTAATCGTCAGCCCTCGGTAGCTCAGGTGGTAGAGCAACGGACCGGATATTCGTGGACCGGGGTTCGACTCCCCGTCGAGGCATATTATTGTGCGTGAACCTTAATCGTGGCTTCTACTTTCTTCGAACTTTACACTACTCACAAACATCCACCATTAATCTACCATCGCCCATTGGACGTCTGAAGGACAGGAACTTCGGTCTATTGGGAAGTGACGGGTGAGTGAGCCAATCTGCAACATCAGGACAGGTACTGTGAGCTTATTGGCAACACGTCGCGCACCAAGCAGAAGACATGTGTTAAACTTTGCGCACCTAATCGTCAGCCCTCGGTAGCTCAGGTGGTAGAGCAGCGGACTGGAAATTCGTGGACCGGGGTTCGACTCCCCGTCGAGGCATATTATTGTGCGTGAATTTTAATCGTGGCTTCTACTTTCTTCGAACTTTACACTACTCACAAACATCCACCATTAGACTAGAACTTTCTTGTCGAGCTTCGATAGCCTCTTTTAAAACAAGCCAAATGCATCAAGCGTAGTGCAAAGAAACAAACTGAAGACATGTTTACGGTATTTTTTACAATAATCTAAACTTTCTTTTCACAAGAGGCTTCAGATTCCAGGGGATCAGAGTGTTAGAACAGAGGGTCATATGTTTGGTAAGTTGCTCGACTGAAGTGCTGCTTAAAACCGCGTGATTGTGCCGGCGTAGTCATATTAAAATACCCACTCGTCAAAACAATCCCATCGCAGTCTCCATTGAAAGAGTTATGGGATCCGTGAGGCTTGCGTGCGTCAAATACAAGCAACCGTTAAATTATTTCATCTTCGCCTTTAAATGTAATTAATTAGCGGATGCTGTGTATACTAATCCGTAGCAGCCCCGTGTGGTAGGTCAGAAATTCTTCTAACAAACCATTGTCAGCAGAGCCCACGACGGCCGGGGTAAATAAACGGGGAACGCTCAAGTTAAGACACGCTTTCGGCATCTGTAGCTCTCAAGTGTTTGTATACGGGACCTTCGTAGCAAATTGACCGAGATTCAATCGCGTCCTGTCGCAATGTCTTGAGATCTCATGACAACAAGGTTGCCGGCACAGAGATTTCACCACCTAGGACGTCACTTGTGCGTAATGACCGGCCTGCAGAGAGAGGTGGTGTGGTCCTTGTCGGTGGAGCCTAGCTAGCGTGCAGTCAGACCATTGTGAATCGCTTATTCTGCGTCAATTTGATGAATAAATTTTATCGCTCACCAGTGTTCAAATTCACTCCATTAGGCTCAATGTGGAGTTTCTAGCACTCTCAGTCTGTTGGATCTATCCCTCCAGCTGTACAGTTTGCGCCATTTCGACACCCGTGTCGAAATTTATACGTACAATTCTTTATTTTCAAAACTGATAGGTCTCGTTTTGGTATCAATAGGAAGGTCAGGCTGAGAGCCTTCCATTAACCTCTCACTCACCCTGTCTTGCCATGGTTCGTATCTTACATCATGAACAGAACCCAGGTTGTTCAGGTTCAAAATGAAACAAGCACGTCTAAGGCAATCACTAGTGATGTGATACAGGGCAGTCATGGGTCCGTTATTATTCATAGCATATGTCAAGGACATTTTGACGCCTTTATCTTTGGCACAATTTTTCAATTTACCGATGACATAAAACTTATTAGTACTTGCAAAGACAATGGTGTCTGATATTCTCAGCGCAATCCAGCATGACCTACCTACGCTTGATCCATGGCGTTCCGAAAGGAAGATGTCATACTGGGTTGACACCTGCCATTTGGTATCATAAGTATGTGAAGTCACACCGGGTTCGCCCACTGTTGACTACAAACCACTGTCTCATTTCCATAGTATCTTCGACCTAATGATACACTATTCAAACGCAGCCAACTTCGTTGAGCACACCGGACAGCTCAAGCTCATCGGAGCATCGGGTTTCTGTTCAAAACATGCACCGTGAAGGAGTCAAGCAACGCCATGTACAAAACACAGACGCGTTAATTACTAGACAATGACTGTCTAAGCCACTGTAGTTCCAAAATGAATGTTCGTATGGCATTAGAGTGAGTGCAACGGTCATTTACTAAAATCTCCTAGGTTATTCCAACACATTAAAGTAGGTGGATAGATACGTTACCATACAACTTTATTCATTTTGGCTTCGCCACATGAAAATCTTGTCGTCTTCTTTGATATCCTTAACAAAATATATTTTCAAATCTAGTAATGCAACTAAAAGAAACAGCAAGGTTTCTCATCAGAAACAACTATGATAAAGTAATAGTGAAAAGATCAAGAACGAAGTGGTCGCATGGATTTTTCTTTAACTGACACTCAGTATTATGTAACAGACTTCCTAATGGGATACGTGAAGTCCAGTCGGCAAAATAGTTTGAAAAGGCATGGCCTTCATTTCACAACTTTGAAACAGCTATTGGGATATTGAGACCAAATACCAGCAATCAATCTCCTTAAGAAATCGGCGCAAGATAGATATGATTTGAACAAACGCCTTCCACTTCAGTAGACAGATGGTTGCTTTCCCCACAATTAGCAGTGACGATAAATTGTGTTATTCCATGGCGAGAATTTCCCCGTAACACTACATCTGAGCTTATAAAAGCGGAACTATTTCATAGAAGACCTTCTTTTTCTTCCTTTTCTGACCCTTTTACGTTT